AACTGCGGCGAGATTTCTCAACTGTGAATAAATATACTCTGTCTCAAGGAATAATGTGCTTTGTGTATGGTTTATATATGATGAATGATGAGAAAACCCTAGAACAAGACGGGGCTTACAAAATATTTATTAATGGGCCAAATTTCGAAGCCCACTTGAGAGAGTAATGCACATATTTTCACTTGTTGTTTCGAATGATTGCAAAATGATAACAAAAATACATTCATACTTTACATAGTGTCTTACTAGTCATGCGTAAACAACTGCAATTGGTTTTTGTCTTGGGATTCTTTTATCGAAAGCAAAATAATAACACGTTAAATTTAATCAGCATACATAGATTAAATCAACAAAATTTCCACAAAAATCGAGTGAAATCAACGATTTATGAAGCATTTTCGCTCTTGTTCAAAGTTTTATAACCTATGAGCTTTTACAGTTTTGACTTTTGAGTTTTGAAACAAACAGAGACCAAACGCAATGGCAAAGAGAAGGAAAAAGAAAAGCTCAGAGCTTTATTGCAGAGTGGATGGCGACAACTCCACCAACAAGGTTCTCGTACTCCACCTTCTCAAATCCTGCGTCTGCGATCATCGACGCAAATCGCTCCTGTACTCATATCATGAGTTTTAGCAATTACAATCGATTTAACACAACCTTCTACTAAAGATTTGATCATGGCTTGTTGTTACTAAGTGCTATTGAAGAGACCCACAAGTTAAAACATGATGCTGACTACACACCATTTTCTCCAACTCTTCTATAAACCGTGCAGTTAAATAGCTAAACGGACTATGTACAAAATAATGCATGTTTTACACCATTTTTTCGAGAAAAGAACAAAAAAGTTGAATGTTTAAACCTGAGGGGGAAACCGACGAACGCTCTCAACCAAGTATTGATATGATTCCCGGTCACCAGCGATTAGTTCCCCTAAGTTTGGGATGACCTTGAAAGAATACAAATCGTATCTACAACAAGAAGAAACACATGTGAGATTATTATCAAAGACTTAGGGACTTGCTTCCACAACATCTCTAGTTATCGAAACTTACATATCTTTGAAAACCGGGATGTCTACATGGCTGAGCTCAAGGCACAGGAATCTTCCTCCCCGTTTTAGTACCCTAACAATATGAAGAGTTTTATAAGACTATGCATAAACACTGTAAGACGAAAATTCACCCGTGTAAATGCTTTTCTGACACACAAAAACCGAGACCAAGGCAGAGAAGAAGGGTTACATATTTGTACCTATAAGCCTCTGCGAGAGCCTTTTCAATGTGTGTGACATTCCTTATTCCAAATGCAATAGTGTATCCATCCATTGAATTGTCATCAAAACTCAAGGCCTCAGCGTCTCCTTCGACCCATACGAGTGACTTGTTATTTCCTAGACCTAATTAGATATAGCAAAGGAAGCCAAATCCCACTCATAAGAAGCAGTGTACAAGGAATGAGAGTGGATAGAAATTTGTTGTCCAAACAAAACATCTGATATTTCACCTCTCTCAGCAGCTCGTTGTTTCCCAACATTTAACATGTCGGGATTAATGTCACATACGTATATTTGAGTTTCTTCAAGTATAGCCTCATCAACTTTCTGCAATGCTCTTCGTTTGACACTGTAAACAGCATCAAAGATCCTAAACGCAACATCGCCTGCATATTCAAAACAACATCTATGACAATGGGTATAGAACATTTTCAACTATAAGATTTAGGGATTCATGACCATTCGACAGCAATCCAAGAGGGGAAAAAGATCAATTGTTTCGACTAACCTGTTCCACCGGCAACATCAAGATGCTTCATCCCTGCAAATGGACTCAGCTTCCCAACNAGTCTGAATTCACAAGAACCACACAAAAATGTCAATTTTTTAATACAAGAACAAATTCATAACACTTGTTATAAGCATATCACGGGTTCTAACCTTTCCTTCCATAGCCTATGCAAGCCACCGCTCATAACATCATTCATAATATCATAACTCGAAGCAACATTGGTGAAAACATTACCAACCAATTTGCTTTTCTCTTCTTCCTTTACTTCTTGAAACCCTGACAGAAAACAATGAAGTGAAACTCACACAGTTAAACCCAAAGAGAAATCAAAATCTGAATACCATATAGCATGAAACACTTGATCTTGATCCATATAGCATGAAACACATGATCTTGATCGAGAGTCATCCACAAGAATACTAAACAACCAAATCAAGAGAGGAAGGATAGATTTTGAGAGTGAGACCAAAACTTGTGGCATGAGAATGAAGCGAAGCAACAGAAGAACGGTAACTCAAAAATCTGCTCCCAAGCCTCCTGCTTACTAATCGAAGTGCCATAGCTTCTATAGAAATTATAATCCTCTACCGCAAATTTTGCTCCTGCAACCAAAATCCCAATAGTGAGACCACTTACAAAAGGATTAAAACAGAACAAAATCTCTGATTTGAGATTCAAAGTCTGTTCTTTTTCTATACAACAGTAATCTTGAAACTGAAGAAGAAGCTGCAAAACCAGTTCTGAAACTAAACTGACAACATAAATGCTTCACCGACACACACCGGGAAGAAAACCGAAACCCTAATTTAAAAATCTACCCTTTCAAAAATCAAGCTCGACAAAGATGAGACGTTCTGGACTCGAGAGAACTAACGACAAATCAAGAGCTGTGTAGCAATGAAATCTAATTTAAGAAAATCCAAAAACTTCGTTCGACTCACAGCTCCAAAGATCGAGAGTTGTGTGAACAGTGCACGTGTTGTTGTTCCAGGACATGTCGGTGCCGGTATCGGACCAAAATGGTTGACGGAGGAAGAACGGCGAATTCATCCCGAGTACATATTTGGGCTTTTAGGCCCATTGTGTTTTTTGTTCCGGCCCATATTTAATGTATCGGTTAATCTATATAATTATATATGAAGTGCGAAATCCTACGTGGCGCCCTCAGAATGAATTTGAGGGTGGTTGATTACAGGGGTATCCTTAATAAAATTAAGGAAATTACACCTCATGCCATCGAAATTTCGTGAGCCTTATATCCTTCATAAACAATAATTGGGTTTGGACCAAAATATTTTTGTAGCCCATGTTCATTAGTCGGTTTTCTTATATCCTTCATAAACAATAATTGGGTTTGGACCAAAATATTTTTGTAGCCCATATTCATTAGTCGGTTTTGATAAGCCCTAATTGCCACATCCATAATTTTTTTTATTTTTTGTTTTATATAACTAAGTCTAGGGTTTAGACATTGTATTTTTATGTTCTTCGTTAGTTTTTTTCCGTCCGCCACATTCATTGTTTGTTAGTTTGTGAGGCTNTTCGAGAAGATAACAANGAATGAGTCTTAAGGCTCTGAGCCATGGGAACGTGAGAAGTATTTTGGAAAGAAGCCTCATAAGTTTTTGCCAATTGATATGGTTTATCCGTTGTAGTTTGCACATCGAGTATTCTCTTTCGTTTGGTCGTTTATCGGGTGATTTGTTGAGAATTTTTATGTTATGAGGATTATGGAAGATGATGATATCGAAGTGAGAAGTGGGAAGTGGGAAGTGGGGTGTTTTTTCTAAGACAGCTTTGTGTTGATTCTACTCATTGCAAGCCTAATTTGTTTGTAGGGAACTTCGTTAAAGATCTTTGTAGTCAAGAGATTTACAAGTGGGTACAATTCTCGGTTCTATTAGAACTCTTCTCGACATGGGAATATTACTGCAGTTTTTTTAGAAGCTTAAGACAGGCCAGAAACCAAGGCTATGTGGGTGGATTTTAGCATATGTTGGTTCTCTTTGATGCACAACGATGTGAATTTCGTATAATATGCTTTTGTTTGGCACCCTTTAATTCATTATCTTTCAGCTTTCTTATTAATTTTGCTTCATCATACAGTTTTGATCGTCTTTTTATAGACCCGGTTTGTGTTGGACAGTGCAGATGAAGAAGAAGGCAAGGAGGAGAACGACAATCCAATAGAAGAAGTCCGGTTAACCGTACCAATAACCAACAATCCGACTGAGCCGATCTTGACGTTNCGTACATGGTTGTTAGGAATGCGTGCGTTTGTGAACCAATTCTTCGGTTACCGGTCCAACCAGCTCATGGTATCTTCAGTCGTAGCTCAAATCGTCAATCTCCCTCTAGGTAAGCTCATGGCCACGACTCTACCGACGAGGAAAATCCAGTTACCCGGTACGAATTAGTCTGGTACGTTGAATCCCGGACCATTCTTAACATGAAGCAACATGTGTTGATCACTATATTCGCTAATACCGGATCCGGAGGAGCTTATGCGACCAGCATCATCACCATCATTAAAGAATTTTACTACCGGAGTCTCAATCCGCCCGCCGCCATGTTGCTTATGCAAACCACTTAGGTACACTTCAAAATTTTCAAAATTAAAATGACTTTTCCGGTTTCTTAATTGGTCATAAATATGTAGTTGGTGTTAACTATGACCAATTTTATTTTTGAGAAACCCAAAATCAAATGTTTAGCTTTTTCGTTTACTCAAACATATTGTTTCCTCCCTACGATCACTGCATCTTACGCCTAGAAAAACAANTAANAATCATATTGNATACGATGTTTTCTCGGTTTGTATCNGAGNAAAATTCTTNAAACTGGTTNGGGTTTATTTTATATTTGATTCATTTAGGTGTTAACA